ACTGTAGTTAGTTACTCTATTACTGTAAATAGTCTTCCAATACGACACATAGTGTTATCACTGACAAATTATACCATGGACGGCACCGCCCTCTGCTGTGACACCGGCTTTGCAGGACTTCGTTAACGATTGCAGAATGCTTAGTCGGACTCTACTAGTACTGGTTCATCAGAGGCCAGCGCGACTGGAAATAAGGGACAGCTGCGTAAAATAGCACATATAATACTCGCGCGGCGCGACTTGCGTACACTCGCCACCTGAGGAGGAAATTTCTGTCCACCGTATCTTTTCTTTGGATTCTGCGCGCTGGGCTTTCATTATGCGCACGATTCACCATGTTATCTTTTCTTTGCCTCTGCGACGCACTTCTCTCTAGCGCGCCCAGTGCTCCAATATTTGCCATCTTCCATATCATTCATTACATTGCCATCACTCTCCACTGATGTTCAGCGCGCGGCGAGATACCACGTCGCGAAAACGGCCATCTCGCTCTACTATATAGTAACTAGCGGGATATCCCTGCGTTGCCGGCGGAATCAGTGGCGTACTTGCAGCTGGTGACGCCTGCGTTGAAAGGAGAAATACCGGTCAAAAAATATAAACTAATCTATCTTCCATGCATCTCATCCCAACATGATACATCACATCATCGCATCCGATTCCATGCCATCCTGCACATATCCCATCCCATCCCATCGCAATCTTCATCAATCATGTCCGATCCCTGATTGCCATCACATTCCCATCTCATCCCATCCCAAACAGTAAAAAATAATAAGAAATCACACAGATAAAAAACATTAAAACATAAAAATAATTAATAAACTAAAAAATAATTTATTAAATTTATTAATAATTAAAAATATTTATTAAAAATTAAAATAATACATACTAATAAGAGGTAGGTCAAAGGGAAAAAGGAACAAAAGGGGGAAAATACGTTCCCCAGCTGGGACTCGAACCCGGAATCCAGGTGAAGCAGATGGATGTTGTACTGATGAGCCCACTGCGCCATTACGTTTATACACCATGGATTCAGACGTGATGGTGTGTGTACGTACGTGACCGCCATCTATTGATCAATAGAATTTTTTATGAATGTTTAACTTTTTAACTTTTTAAAAGTTTCAGCCAGAACCACCTGGAAGACGTGCTGATTCTGAAAATATCTTTAGTTTTCCTCTAGGCTGCGGAGTTCTCTAGTTATGCGCGAACACACTAATTCGGCTGAACAACTTTATATATATAGATATCAAGAGTACATAACAGAGATGTATTATGTACTCTTGATAATATAGATACTATCCCTATAGGGAGTGCCTTCCCCCCGAGTGTAACCCCTCCGCTTCTGCTACAGGAGCGGGAGCAAAGAGGCTACACCGGCCGGTAGAGCTAGCTACCACTGAGCTATGACAGTAGCGGATTTAGAGGGGGGTTGCAACCCCCCTCCCCCCGTTCAGCCACTGACTAATGTTATAATACTAGTAAAATGGGGCCAAAAATAAAAAAAGTCAGTCTGCAGGCTGATGGAAACTGGGGATTTCCCCTGTGCCCACACAGCTGCCTGAACGGTCAGATCCTGAACACTGTCACATTTGGGGGAGCTCCGCGCAGCTACGTGCTCTGATCCTACGCACCCCTAAATCTTCTTGAGTCACGCCCGTCACGTGGTCCAAGTTGCCGAGTAACTGTTTACACTGTCAAGTTCGTCGTATTTCCCCGATCTAACGAGTGCGCATGCTCACAGGGCAATCATGTATGTTCGCAATCGATTAAAGCATAGATACATAGAATATGTATTCTATATCTATGAATAAAGTTGGCGCGTGAGCAATTTTGTAGAAAACAAGTTATGTTAACACTCTGAAAAACTGTAAGATGTGCTAAAGTCTTAGAAGAAGGATAACTGTCTCATTTGGGAGCATATATGTTTGAGCTTGTCCAGCGCTGTGGTCTTATGAATGAAAACTAATTCAATGCTGTCATGATCTCCACAGCATATTAATGAATGACTATATTATTGCCAGTATCTCGATCCCCACTATATTATCAGGAGTGAATAATAATAAATTATTATCTTTTAGTGCATCACGTGATAAATCGTTGAAATTCTATTGGATAACGTCGCAGGTACTATGAAACAATAATTTATTTTTTAATTTATTTTACACTAATGGTATAAACCGTTGTGTTTGATATAAATCAAATGATCTCGATTTAACAAAATAGATTCGTGTGTGAAAGTTTCGTCAGTACCACTGCATGTTAATACGTGTACGATGTTACTGTTTATTTAAATTTTAAATTGATTCATTAAACCACTTTTTACTATTAGTATATTATCTTTATGTAATTAGTTAATTGCGATAATCTGTATGTTTCACAGTTTAATTGTCATAATCTGTGTTTTACAGTTAACCATAATAAATGAGTTTGATTTTGCGATATTTGAAAAATTAAGCTCCTATCATGTATTGGGGCACTATCATGTTCTGTGAAAAAGCTAAAAATTGACAAATCTAGATTTTTTCTTAAATCATAGGAATTCGTAACTGCAATAACTCCTAGCTGAAGCAAATTTTAGTTGACTGCTCTATTCGCCATGGGCAACACAGTGGAACCGCTTACGAAGCAGGGTATAGGAGGTGTCAACTTTTTGTATTCGTTATAGTCTGTGCTCATGGCGCAGGCTGCCTCCGAATTCCGTAATTACACGTGTATAGCTAAGAATGCGCAGAAATTTACGCAGAATTGTTTGAAGTTCTATCACTTGTTTTAAGCTTCTAATTACCAACACATGTAATTACTGGAATTTTGATTATATATATAATGTATGATATATGGAATAATATAATATATTATATGTGCGAGGTTGTTTACGGCAAATTAAATGTGCGTTCAAACGTAATGTATAATTTTCTATAAAACAGTTATACGTTCTCATAACGTTTCTATAAATATTCAGCAAATATTACTTTAGCTAAATAATTTCATAAGAAAAATTCTCAATTTAAATTTAAATTTCTAAAATTTCAATTCTGTAACTAGGCAGGAGATTGTGGGGCACGTAGTTGCGGCTGATCCACTGACTTTAGATCATCGGCTGGCGGCCGTCCGCCATTGCAATTTCGGCGAATCTATACAGTTTGTTACACATCCCATACATTCTACCAAAGTTGTGGTTACACGGGTAGAGTCCATGTCGTTGTGTTAAGCAATGTCTGAGTGTGCTTGAGTAACGGACCAAGGGACGATCGTCTCATCACGAACCTAAGAAAGCATGTAGTCAAGTATTGTCAGTACAACTTGCCTTTACGTTCTAATATCCCGTACAGACTGCAAAATTTGATCCTACATCAAACTAGTCCGGGCCAGGCCCAGGCCATGCGCGCGCTAAATCGCAGCGTACAGACACAACCGGGCTCAACCGGACCGGGCTAAGTTAGCACGGGTTGTCTGCGCATGCTCAGTTTAGCTTGTTACGTCGCTCAACAGACAACAATGGCGGTTAGACAAAAGTGCCGCCGATAGAATTATTAGGATGTATATACTCTATTATTGTAATAGCAGAAGAAGAAGAATATTAACAGGTGATTGAATAGACAGTAGAAGCTGTAACCGGTGTATAATCTAATCTGGGTATCCAATTATAATTCAATTGAACTATTTTATCAGCAATGGAAGTGTAAACATGCACATTCCCATGTCTGCCTTCCCATACATTCTGGATAGAATCTTTTGGTTAAATTGTAACAACACTCTATAGTGAAGTGAAGATCAAACACAAAATTGCAGACACAATTTCACACGCCACTGTACTTTTATGTGTCCCAAACAAGGATATCTGCACTTTGCAATGCCCGAGGCATTGATGTTAAACATCAGAGTTTGTGAACTATCAGTCATTCAGGAACATCAAGCAATTTTATCAGACGTATTGTAAATGCTAAAGTGGTGATAGTGCCTTGATTTTTCTGAATCGCACCCATTTAATATGGTAAAAAAAATCTCAAACGTTTCCGACATGGACTGATAAGGCGTGCACGCAATGCACGTGCAACGGAGATCGGTACACTGACGCTAGCTTGAGCTGATAGGGTCTATGTCCCCGGGGTACTGCCGGAACGTACCCTGGGTACGGTCCGGTATACCGGAACGTACCCTGGTACTATATTATATGCCGGACCGTATACCTAGCCTACTCCACTAACGACGTCTAGCGGACCGCCTACGGCCTAGCTCCGCTAACCCCGAACCCGAACCCGACCGAACCCTAACCTGTAACCCTAACCTAACCCTAATCCTAACCCTAACCATATCAAAATCGTGACGCAGGGTACGTTCTGGTATACCGGACGCGTACCCAGGGTACGTTCTGGCAGTACCCTAGGGGACATACACCCTATGAGCCTAGCTGACGCGTGATGCACTAGGGACTTTGGATTAAGCCGTGCTAAGGCCCTGGCTAAGGCCGTGCTAAGCCGTGTCATAAAGCCCGGCGCACAACGTGGCGATTTTTATGGCTAGTACTGGCGATTCTGTTGCCGGCGTAAAAATCGCCGAGAAATCGCCACGTGTGCGCTGCCGCGGCGTCACCGATTTTGACGCCAGAAACTCGTCGCTGGAATATCAAAGCATGTTTGATATTTGTTGTCCGCAGTCGCTGAAACAATCGCTACACGTGTGCGCCGCACCTGGCGATGGATCTCGGCAACAGTTTTTGGATAACGCAATCAAATGCAGTGATTTGAAGCACGTGATGCAAATATTGGCAGCGCCCGTGGTGTGGTTTGAACAGGTCACGTACAGTTCATACAGTGGTATGTCGCTGATAGATCGGTTGAATTGTCGCCGGGTGGCGCACAGCACGTGGCGATTTTTATCGACAGTACAGCGATAAAATCGACCGGTACTGTCGATAAAAATCGCCACGTGTGCGCCGGGCTTTAGCAGACGTGGCTTAATGCCAAAGACCCTAGTGCATCACGCGTCAGCTAGGCTCATAGGGTCTATGTCCCCCAGGGTACTGCCGAACGTACCCTGGGTACGGTCCGGTATACCGAGAACGTACTCTGGTCACGATTGCCGCACGCTGTCAATCTAGCGGTAGTAGTGCACGAGGTGGCGAGTAATAGAGTACTACTAGTAGAATCTGGGACATAATTGCGGCAGATAATAATTAAGGAATTTCGAGTTTATGACATCGTAAAGCGGCTCTTGAAAATGATCACCGCCAAATGTCGTCGTCAGTCTCTGTTGTCTTTACGTCGTGGTAGCTACTTCAACGGTGGAAGGTATGTGTATTTATACGATTTTTTCTTAGGTACTAGATATATTAACCTCGTCGTTTGTGTTATCAATCCATATAAACTTATTGAGGGTTCCTCTTGCACTATAACGCTCTCTCGCTCTTTCTCCCTCCCCTTCTCTCCCTCTCTTTCTCAGTCTCTCGCTCGCTCGCTCGCTCTCTCTCTCTCTCTCTCTCTCTCTCTCTCTCTCTCTCTCTCTCTCGCTGTCACTCTCTCTCTGTCGCTCTTTCTCTCTCTGTGTCTCTTTCTGCCTCTCTCTCTCTCTCTCTCTCTCTCTCTCTCCTTCTCTCTCTCTCACACCCTTTCTCTCCGTGTAGATTTGCTGTGTATATGTGGCTCGTTCGGTTGGTTAAGGATACATTCAAGTTTTGCACGGTATATTGCTCTAATAAAAAAATGTTTATTGACAAATGAATCGAATCAATCACGTTTTATTTATAGATAAGATGTATCTCTTTGCATAAGCCAAAATATTTCATGAAATTTCAGGCACTTAATGATGTGACAACACAAATTTGGGATTTTTATGTAAAAATGGCATTTTGGATATTTCCTAATTACCACAAAAAGTATATAAAGCAAAATCAACAAAATATGCCAAAATCACGCGTCAGGAATTTCCTGTCCTTCACTTTCATATTTACCGAAAAATTTTATATTTTTTTACACTATCAACATTTAGACACCTACACAGCACACACACACAAACACACACAACTACACACACACACACACACAGTCACAGCACACACACACACCACACACGCAGCACGCACACGCGGCGCACAACACACACGCACACGCAGCGACGCACCACGTTCACACGCACAGCACGACGCACAACCGCACGGCACACACACACCCGTCCACACACACAGAGAGAGAGAAGAGAGAGAGAGAGAGAGAGAGAGAGAGAGAGAGAGAGAGAGATAGATAGATAGATAGATTAGATAGAGATAGAGATAGGAGGAGAGAGAGAGAGGAGAGAGGAGGAGAGAGAGAGAGAGGAGAGAGAGAAGAGAGAGAGAGAGAAGAGAGAGAGAGAGAGAGAGAGAGAGAGAGAGAGAGAGTGAGACAGAGTGAGCACATCATTATATTGGTAATGTCCCACCAGATAAGGCTCGATGGCTATGTTTGTTTAGGATGATAATATACAACTTTCGAGGCTGCAATTGTCCTCTGCTGCCTCTCTCTCTCCTGTTGTGCATGTGTGTGCGTGTGTGTGTGTGTGTGTGGTTGTGTGTGTGTGTGTGGTGGTGTTGTGTGCGTGGCGCGTGTGTTTGTGGTGTGCTGTGTGTGGTGTGTGTTCGTGTGTGTTGTGTGTGTGATGTGTGTTATGTGCTGTGCGGTGTGTGTGTGTATGTGCTGTGTGCATGGTGTGTGTGGTGTGTGTCGCACGCGGCCGCGCCTGTGTGTGTGTGTGTGTTGGTGTGTGTGTGTGTCGGTAGTGTGTGTGTGTTTTTGTGGTGTGTGTGTTTGCCTGTGTGTGTGGTGGCGTGTTGTGTGTTGTACGTTGTGGTTATGTGTGTGTGTTGTGTGTTGTGTGCTATGGTGTGTGGTGTGAGTGTCTGTGTGTGTGTGTTGTTGTGCCTGTGTGTGTGTGTTGTTGTGTGTGTGTGTTGTGTCGTGTGAGTGTGTTGTGTTTGTGTGTGTGCTGCTGTGTGTGTTGTGCTGTGCTGTGTGTGTGCTGTCGACTGTGTCGTTGCGTGTTCGTGTGCGTGGTGGGCCGGGCGTGTGCGTCGTGCGTGTGCATCGTGCGCGAGTGTGTTAGTGTGCTTGTGTGTGTGTGTGTGTGTGTGTGGTGTGTGTGGGTGTGTCTGTGTGTGTGAATGTGTGTGTATGTGTGTGTGGTGTCGTGTGTGTGTGTGTGTGTGTTGTGTGGGATGTTGTGTGTTGTTGTGTGTGTGTGTGTGTGTGTGTGTGTAACCTGTCATATCTGCGCGCGTGTATCCTGATAACCATTGTCCGAGACGCGCTATAACAGCTAATAAATTCTAAAAAGCCCTCCATTATATTGATGAAATTCGACATAATGAGAGGTGGCGGCAACCAAAAAAAGACGCTGTTCAGTGGGAAAAGGTCACAGGGCAAATTGAAAAATGTAATATATAGGATCCGTACATGCGCCGTTATATGCTACAAATATATAGACAATCCTCGAAATCGACATCTGAGAACACGGTTTAAAAGACATTCGTAATGCGAAAATAGCAGACAGATGTTTAGATTTCAGTTATTTCTATGATTAATCGTGTAGAAATACCTGAAACTACAGCCATCGCCTCCGCCACTACCAGAATAGGAGTAGCGGATGCTAACAGTAGAAATACTAGCAGTGGTTGCGGCGTCATCAGCTTTGAAACTATATCGTTCTATGCGCGCTTTAGCTATACAACATTTGTTAAAGTTACTTTACTTACCGAATAACAACGAAGTTATTGTTGTCACTATATCATTTACCATTAATCGATACGCTAAATAGCGCAAGGTGATTATTTGTAATATCACTGATTTTAAGCCATCTATTTTTTATCCACAGATGCGCAATTTTGGAATGATCAAACTCAAGCTCTCTTAAACAAGTACCTACACACAGAATATAACTGCGGCGTTGCTAAGAATGCTATATTATTCATCGGCGATGGCATGGGCCTCCCGTCACAGTTCGCTGGCCGGATACTGAAAGGTCAAATGGAAGGAAAAACAGGAGAGGAGGAGTTTCTGGAGTGGGAAAAATTGCAGCACACCGGACTTGCAAAGGTATTGGTTATATAATTGCATGATTTGTGTGTTGCACATTTGCGTAATATACTAAGTTAGGCACTACGTGGTACTTTGCTCGTTACTGTTATTACTCTCTGATGTTGCGTGTAATCAGAGCACGTATATCATACTATATATATAATATTTCCTGTTTGCTGAAGCACGTACGTGCCTATTTAAAGAAATTGTTTATATACAAATGCATAATTCATTGGAGAAAAAAAATGCATGCAACCTGTGACTTCGGTTTAAAAAAAATATATAACAACATGTTTAACTTTAAAGGTGCAAGATGTATTGCGTTTTATTGTTATTAAAAACCCATGATTGATATTTACTAGTATTTTATAGTTGATTATAGCCTTACTAATTATAGTATTTAGACTTCTGTCACTAGCTTGCAGCGCCAGTTCAATTTTAAAATGGCCAAATGGTGAGTGATCGTGCTCTATGATATACGTGCTCCGGTGTAATGTAGACTTGCAGTCCAATAACCACAAGGTAGGCAATAGATTTCCTAATACTTGAAACTGATTTGATGATAACTTTCGGGTGTTTGAGTGAGAGCATTACAATCTAGAGAATTCGTAGACGTATTTTTCCTGTCTTTATTCAATACGCTATTTTAGCCAAACTATATGAATATTTCTTGGGGGGATGTTATATCTAGCAGTCATGCGTTGCACTCGAGTTTATATTCAATTATTTTTCCAATCCGCTGAAACGATGATTTTGTGCGGCAACAATTTCGTGAATTCTCGCTTAGTACGCTCCTTATGTCAAACTTATTATCTGAATATTTTATGTATTTTTTTAAAAGCTTATCCTTCGGCGGAATCCGAAGCTTTCCACCGTTTGCATGATTGTAATTACGGCATTTGAAACAGGTTTAGCAGAGTGTCCCTTGGTCATGGTTTACGTGGTATATTTGCTACGTTAAACAAGTTCGCATGCGCGTTGTTCGGTTAAATTAAAGCAAATGAATTCACCCAACTTTCCCACTACATATATTATTCCATGTTAACATTCGCGTAACACAAACAAAATACCAAATATAACTTGTTTTAAAATTATGCGGTGTAGACATTCCGAATTTATTGCACGATATCAATAATGATATATCTATTTCGCGAATATTCGATTACTACCGCAATAGTTTATTGTAGTATCGAATTATTTTAATTGTGAAATGACGTGAGAAATCGGGTTTATACAAAACAGTGAAATCTGCGAATGAATGAATGGTCAAATCTCGGTGTGAGATCGAAGGGAAATCCGAATCTGAGGCATATAGTTTCGGAGTCAAACATCCGTATCATTAGACACTCTTTACCATGCAGCTGGGATCGGTGACTAATCTTCAAAAAGAATGAAACTATTTTGCGTTACTCATGACTGTCGCGTGCCGCAGATCGTGCCTCAGCCCGCATCTCTGTAAGCTTAGCCACTGTCCAACCCTGTCTTTGACCTTGAATCCCCCCTATTCGCGTTCTCCGGTTGGTGTCCGTACCGTATGTATTATATGTCTTATGTATCCGTTCCCGCGACATCTTTACCACATGTCCGAGCCATTTGATCCTGCGTTTGGTGGTCTCTCGTGACATGTAGATAACACCCGGTGAGTGGGAACAAACTAGGTCTGCTTGCCCTATGCATTTGCTATTTCGAAAAAGGCCGCCCTTAGTGCGAAACTGGAAGTTACAGCTCACAGCGCTAATGTTCATATGTGTATGACGACAGCCATGGTCAGATGCGCTCATGGAAACATATTTTATGCTTCAGCGCTGATCTTTCAGAATTCCAATGATTGATATGTTTGGGTATTTAACTACATTCCAGACTGTTATTAGCGTTGGCCAGACTTTCCCCAGTATGTATCTTAAATTATAACTAAATATTACTTTTAAGAGATACGTGCAGTTTGATATCATCAAGAGCTAAGAATACATAATAATAAATATTAATTATCAATTAAATAATTAATTATTATTATTAGTTAATTAATTATTAATGATTACTAATTAGTTAATTATTAATGATGCATTATTCGCGCTTGATATTACTTGAACATCGTACATTAAATGTTTTGTACATAATATTACAGTTACTCACACTCTAGATTGTTTACATTCTCACATTAGACCTACAATACAGACTTCCAAGTTTCCGATTCTGCTGGTACAGCCACAGCCTATCTATGTGGCGTTAAAGGGAAAAAAGCGACCATCGGTGTGGATGATACTCTACTAGAAAGAGGACATTGTCCATCGGCAGAGGCGGCGTCGGTGCGCTCCATTGCTGACTGGGCACAGGCTGAAGGTAAGCTGGAAGATACGCTTTAATTATAAGATGAAGTTTGCATACCTATACGACATGGGCTGGTATCATGCGCGCGACTGAGAGGGAGAGTGATAGATAGGGAGAGAGCGGGAAGAGAAAGAGCTAGAGCACGAGAGAGAGAGAGAGAAAGGAAAAAAGAGCACGAGGGAGAGAGAAAGAGAAAGAAAGGGAGCACAAGAATGAAAGAGAGAGAGAGAGAGAGAGAGAGAGAGAGAGAGAGAGAGAGAGAGGGGGGGAGCAGGCACGTCGCCATGCGGAGGCCTGAAAGCTCGGGCTTCTACATTATTTCCGGATTTTTAAAAATAAATAATGTAATTAAACAGTTGCAATGTACTTTTTACTGTGTTTCAAATGTTAGAATTTCATTTTAATACTCCCCAGCGTACACCATAATCTATGTAGCATTTCAAAAAATTTCAGGGGAGGCCCCCCGGGCCCCCTCTCCCTCACACAATCTTCCCCTCTCCTCCTTTATGGCGTTTTGCGCCTTCGTGACTGGGCTTCAACATTAGTCAATCCCTGGCGACGGCCCTGGAGAGAGAAAGAAAGAGAGAGAGAGAGAGAGAGAGAGAAAGAGAGAGAGAGAGAGAGAGAGAGAGAGAGAGAGAGAGAGAGAGAGAGAGAGAGAGAGAGAGAGAGAGAGAGAGAGAGAGAGAGAGAGAGAGAGAGAGAGAGAGAGAGAGAGAGAGAGAGAGAGAGAGAGAGAGAGAGAGAGAGAGAGAGAGAGAGAGAGAGAGAGAGAGAGAGAATGAATGCGTCCGCTCGCACGCGTGCACGCGTGCGAGTGTGAGAGAAAAATAGAGAACGAGAGCTAGTGAGAAAGAACATTAAAAGGCATGTTATTAATCCAATATAATATAGGAAATCGATCTTACTTCAGGTAAATCCACCGGCCTCGTAACAACCGCCCGCGTAACGCACGCATCCCCTGCAGGCTTATACGCCAACGCTCCTGAGCGAAATTGGGAGGAAGATTCGGACAACAACAGTGATTGTAAGGACATAGCACGCCAGCTAATAGAAGATGACCCAGGCAGGAAACTAAACGTGCGTATAGTTTAGCACGTGAGAGGTATTTCAACATCAATGTAGTCAACATGGGCAATGTATTTGTGAACCTAAACCCATAAATACGTAATATGATATACGTATGCCACTACATGATATACCCCCCCCCCACCACACACACACACACGCACACACACACACACGCGCGCGCGCACACACGCATGCGCACGCGCTCGACTTTGGGCATTTCTAGAGTGCTTCATATTGATTTGCATTTAGAAAAGACAAACAAACAGACGTACATTATACAAATAATACTAATACAAATATGTACTAGTATTAGATATGTTACGGTGGTTATGTAAACCTGTGGTTGCCGCCGCGAGCGTACTCTCCATTCTTCTCCGACTCCCTCCCCTTCTCCTCCATCATACCTCCTTATATAGCAAGGCTTTCCCTTGTCGACCTCAGCCTGGACACACCCTCCTCTGACCCGATCCCGTTTACTCTCGCTCATAGCAAGTATAATGATTAATAGATGTAAGTCAACCAGCGGATTAATATCCGGCTGGCCCTCGGGAGGACCAATAAAGTGTATTTCGTATTAGCTCGCTCTAGGCCCTATCCAGTCTCGGCGGTATTTCCCATAACTTATGATTGTAGACGCTAGGTGTAAATTACGTCTCTACACTTACAAGTGCGCGCGCACACGCACTTACGCACACACACGCACACACACACTGAACACACACACACACACACACACACACACACACACACACACACACACACACACACACACAACACACACACACACACACACACACACACACACACACACACACACACACACACACACACACACACACACACACACACACACACACACTTTGCATGGCGTATCAACTACGCATGCTCGCCTGCTCACTTGCAGTCGCTCCTAAGCTGGACAAGGTGGCGCTGCGTGACGTGAAGGTGAAGGCCGGACAGCAGATCACCTTCAACGTGCACTTCACGGGCGAGCCGACGCCCGACGTACAGTGGAAGGCCAACGACAAGCCGCTCGTGCCCAGCAACCGCACGACGATCGAGAACACGGACACGGGCACCGTGCTGACCACGAAGCCCTCGGAGCGATCCGACAGCGGACAGTATCGCCTGACCATTAAGAACACGAGCGGCAGCGACACCGCTGCCTGCGTTGTCACCGTAGTCGGTAGGTTATATTAGCAATGTTTCGCGTAGTGTGTAGGAAGAAAAAGGGCATGCAAGTGTAGAATGTGAGTAGAGTAGAGTAGATTGGAGTGGATTGGAGTGGAGTGGAGTGGGGTGGAGTAGGACGGAGTAGAGTAGAGTAGAGTAGAGTAGAGTAGAGTAGAGTAGAGTAGAGTAGAGTAGAGTAGAGTAGATTAGAGTAGAGTAGAGTAGAGTAGAGTAGAGTAGAGTAGAGTAGAGTAGAGTAGAGTAGAGTAGAGTAGAGTAGAGTAGAGTAGAGTAGAGTAGAGTAGAGTAGAGTAGAGGGCAGAGTAAAGTAGCGTATAGTGAAGTGGAGTAGAGTGGAGTGGAGTGGAGTGGAGTGGAGGTTGGAACCGAAAGGGTTGAAGTTCGAAACCCGTTTCGGTTACCAACGGTAGCCGTGTCAAAGGTAGCTGCAATAGCCTCGTTCTCACCTGGAACGC